GAAGGCTAGGACGGTTGGCTCCAAGATGGTGGCAGATGGCCGACCATTTGTATTCGGCGCGACGCGCGAGGCCCCGCATACGATTAGCATATACTGCATATCCTGCGCGTCAGGACGACAACAGGAGGCGCTTTCGAATGCACGAAATTGTCCCCCCCTCCGCCGGGGGAATTCTCCAAGGACGAAGGATTTATAAATAATTTTCATCGACTCGATTCTCGGATTTCATCCCTTCGTCGCGTGTTGCTTGCGTTAGTGAGATCGCAATATTTTTGGAATTTCGTGGAAGATGAAATGAATTTGGGAAACTAATCGAAAAATTTGATTTAATTGTTAAATTAATCGGTATTGGTAGAAGTAGAAAGAAAAATGTAATTTTCGATGGTCGAAAGTGATGTGTAGATATGGATTCTTCGACGTATTGGATGCGAACGTAAATATATAGGGGTTCATTAAAATTTTTAATCGGACTATTGTCGCGCACGACAACCTGGCCTTAAAACGATATATGGAACACTGGAACACATTTGTAAACAATACTGTGTGCGGGCTCGTTTATGGGCTCAAAGAATTTTTCTTCGATCGAAATATGCGATTATTAATTTCTGTTAACAATCGTTCGTGACCCAGAACGAGCGATATGTATCGTCAAATTGGGATAAATTTCGGTATATCGGTGTATTTTTAATCATTTAATTAGTAAGTAAGAGTATATTAAATTTTCTACGTATCGTCCTTTAATATTAAATAATTCATTCGATTAAATAATAATGATAAAATCAACATTACCGAAATATTCGATGCTTCGTTTCGCATAATGATTTTCTTCCTTGATCTTCATCTTCTCGATATATATATATATCTCTTTCACCAACGATCAACGAATTGAAATTTTTTTACCACGAACACATCGTATCGATCATTTTTCACCCTGATATAAACGCGTTGACTTCGAGTTTGCACGAATTTCGTATGTCACACCATCAGAAGTTTTCTCGACACGTTCTATCCGATGCAGAATACCAATGATTTTCGATTACGGGGAAAAGTAATATATCGGAGAAGAGAAGGAGAGAGGAAGAGAGAGAGAAGAAGAGAAGAAGTCTGAGAAGCGGATGAAAAATAGTAATAGAAGAAAAAACAACGTCCGGCTGGAGCGCGGCGCGCCTCGTCACTGATCATCTCGAGGGTTGATTCAGGAGATGCATTCGGAGAAGTCCGTGGGTCGCGCGCATGCGTACTTGATTGCGCACGGATCTGCGCAGACGCCGTGTTCAAATATTTTGGGAATCCACGTGGTTGCTCGCGTGAGAATCGCGGCACGCGACGCGAAACATTAACGATCCATCGCCAATTTCACGAGACAGAAGTATCTTTACACTCGTGATGTAATTTATCGTTCTCTTGTAACGATAAAAAAATTATCCCATAACGTGGAATTAAACGAGCACGATACGCAGGCTGATAACAAAGGAAATAACGTTCAATTTCCTAACCTCTTTTTTTCTTTTTATTACTCTCTGTTGCGAAACTACGTTGCGTTAAAGTATTCTTGCTCGTTCTCCGTCCTAAAAACGATCATTATTGTCGAATTAGTTGAAATTACGAGGAAAGGAGTCGTGATTAAACGAAAAAGATTAATGTCGAAAATGGAAACGGATAACGATCGCGTTTTTGTTGACTCGGTTTAATTAAACATTAATTGACTTAATTAAGGAAGAACCGCGTGAGCATTCCGGTATACGTATCGCTTTATAAGGCGACTGTTTCTTTCGCGTATGATACGCGTGTACTATTTAGTCTGCAATTGTTGCACACTCGATGCGTTTGGAAGTAGCTCGTTATCATTCAAGAGATAACAAAAACGCGAAAACTTATATCTCAGATAAATAGATACGTAACAATTTCAGATAGAATAAACGCGATAATCGCGTGGCAAACATCCTTTCCATATTATTTTGCTAGATTTTTTTCTCGTAAAGAAAAAAAAAAAAAAAGTAAATAGATAGTTGTTTTGTCGAAAGGAAAAAAACTTGTTCCAATTTCTCATGATTATTCATCCTCTCTCTTCGAGAGTACAAGATGGAAGATCGCCTAATTAGTATCAACTAACGATACGTTTATTAATATGTATATATCATAAATTGTAGACTTATAGTTCATAAAAAAAATTCGGTTCTAAATGGATTAACATCAATATTAATTAAGGATCGTGTTAACTATAACACGAATAGAGATCTGTGAATATATATATATATAAAATGATCGGTGAAGAAAAATTGATTCTTTGTCCTCGTTTTTCTCCTCCCGACGAACGATTCACACGTAATAATACAACTCCCCTTAAACTTTTCTTTCTCTTTTTTTTTCTTTTTTTCCCCTCCCTCCTTTCTCTTTCCAATTTCTTTTTCTCTTCCCTCAAATTAAGTTCTCTTCTAGCCACTTGACACCGAGGCTCCTCAACAAAGACTCCTCACAGTGTGGAGAGTTG